GAGTTCTCGTAATAAAAATGATTCGACAACTCTTTTTGTCGGAGTCCCTACCTACTCCCGGTTATACCCCCTGTGATCGGTTTCAATTTCCACTTCAACCAATGGAACATTCTTTTTGCATTGTAGATGTGTTTTGACCCTGTTAAGGTGTTATCTGCAGTGCAAATCTATCAAACCAACTGAGAATCGCGGACCCGAAGCCGCAAAGCTAGACTGCAGGCATTCGACCCAATTTATCACTGCGCAGGTCATCATAAAATTTTGTAATAAAGATAAGCACAACATAGGGATTTTAATTGGCGCTTACTAATAAATCCCCTTACTGTCCCATTACAGATTCCGCGCATAATCAATGGACTGGAAGAACCACCCCCAAGAGACTATTTAAAAGCCCCGTTGTACCTTGTATCACTGTCATGCTATCCGCGTTTGAACGAAATGGACCATCCCTCGCTCTCTCACCCTGTGTCTTGCCCGATTCCCATGTGCGTTCGCATATTGACTTCGTCAACACAAGAATACGTATATGGGCAGAATTGATTTTGGTCATCAATTTCGCGTGCCCTCATTCAGCTGTAAATGCACATTTATATGATCATGTAAAACGAAGAATTAATAGAGTTGAAATGAGTCGTTTGAACAAAGTGGTGGTGGACAAGTGAGTTGTGTGATTTGCATTTGGTTACAGGTTGAGGTCAAGTTAGATGACAAAAATTGATATGGAGGAGAACTCGTTCAAGCAATCTGGTGAATGTGGTAGAGGGAGGAAGAGAGAAGGTCATGTCACAAATTATGGTAGGGTGGTAGCAAGTATGACATCATCACTATCCTGGTAACAACAGATACATCACATTGACTTTGTGCTTTCGCTCGGTTGAGACATCACCCTTAGAGTTTCGTGAACAAACGTCGTCATTGACTGCTCACTCTCGTGAGCCGTGCCGCTCACTGATTGTGATTTTGTGGTCAACAAAGGAAGTAATAGCTGTGCGGTCGGTTTCAGCTTGCCTGAGATCGTCATGCCCTTCTGTTGTCATAAATTTGGATTTCGATTCACACATCGAAACAGGCGCATTAAGGTTTTTCTTGTTGTACACCTATAGCACAACTCATATTCGTGAGCTTACTAAGGGTATCACAATTCACTCCTCTTAGCACTGAAGCAAATATAGATATCTATATATATCCATAATAGTTCATTTGTATTAGCAAAAGGCTTAACGTTTATCTATTCATGCTTCTCCACAGTTAAGCAATGCTAGTAAAAAGATTAAAATTACATGGTTCTTTCTTACCACGTACACCAGCTGACCAACCACTGTACATGCTTGGGCGATGTAGACAACTATTCTGACGTCAAGTCAGGACATCCTTGGACAGTCTTTACGTGTTACTTGAAATAGCATTCGAATACCGATAAAACTTCACAAATTTTGTCCGTATATTCAGCATCCGCATTTGGAGGTCAAAGCTGCGCTAAATAGAGGATAGTGCATTGGACGATTACGATTATCTTTTCTCTCTCATACTCGTGGCTCCGTGCATCTAGCCCTCTAAGCAGTTTTATGATATGATCTTTGTAATTCTTCAAGCTCTAAGGAGACTGTTTGACCACCAATTTGAGATGCTCATGACATACTCGTTGTTGGCTTGTTGTAAATGCAGCTCCTCACAAAATGAACCCGGTCAACAGTCGTATCGACATTATCTTTATCTTGTTCAGCACACTTTTTAACTGGCTGTAGTGTTTTGTCCCGCGGTGAATGAATGAGTTTGTCGTATCAGGTACAAGTCTTTGGTAGCTTAAAATCACCTTATGGAATGTCACAAGTACGGTTTGCAGAATGAACCATTTTCGATTGAGAAACGCAAAACTGTAGCCTGACAGATATCCATCGGTTGTACAGTCCATAAACAAATGACTTCTGCATTTTCGTCACATCAAGGGGTTAAAAGTACAGTGTTCAAACAACTTCCTATAGTTTAGAATTGGTTCGAAAGGTTGTAATATCAACCTTGAATAAGTAGGGCACATACAGTTGAATAAACCAAAAACTAATACTATTTAAAGTGAATGATGGAGGATTTGATTTGATTTCAAAGGTTATTCGTCGTGTATATGGCAAACGAAACGT